CCTGAAATATTTCAGTTAGTGTGCAATGAATCTAAAATATATGAATGTTAAATTTTCATCATGACATTATGGAAAATAATGAACTTTATCACAATATGCTAATATTTTGAGAAGGACCTGTAGTTAGTAGAACGAAGTTAAAACATCAGAGATTACTAATCCAGTTATTTCTTTCATATCTGATTTGTTTCAAATTTACATTTTAATGTTTATATTTATTATTATTTAATGTTTTATTAATATTATTTTATTATTTTCTTTACCACTGTTCCCTTATTTTCCTGTAGAGCACTTTGAACGACCTTGGGTTTAAATTGTTCCTAGAAATAAAACCTACAAGTGGCGCTGTGACTCAATCACATTACAGATTTTAGTTTTACAGAAACAGATGAAATCAGTAATTAGTTGCAAAACAAGCAAACAAAGACCTACACAACAATTGAAACTCAAAACGGGGAACCGGCTTCCCCTCATCTGTCAGATGGAGAAGATCATGTCTTCTTTATGCTTACTTTTTAAGAATGCATAAATGGGATCATTTGGTTCAACTGGACTGTTGGGCCAGGTTGGTTTGGTTCTGTTTGTTGTGTGAACTGTGTAAGGTAAGGTAGAGATGACTGTGGTTCAGTGGGAAGAGTAGTTGTCTTGTAATCCAAAAGGTGTGGGTTTGATTCCCGCTGTCACATGTTGTTGTGCCTCTTGGCAAGGCACTTAGCCTCAAATCGCCTGCTGATCTGCATGTCGGTGTAAATTGGGTGAATGTGCCTCAGGTGTAGAGCGCAGAGTGGTCGGTATGGCTGGAAGAGTGTTATTAGGTGTTGCCTTTTCAGGAGTTTTCTCCATTGGGCTGGAGTGCCACGTCCTCTTTAGGTTGTGTCTGTTTTTTTTCACCAGTGTTTTTGGTTTTGCTAGTGCTGTAGGGACTGGTTAGCATCAGTTGTCTCATGACATCAAGAGATTTCTCTAGGTCACTTGCCTGCAGGCTGTTTTGCATGCCCACTGGTTTAAGGTGCATCAGGAACCACCAGATTTGGTTAGACAGTTAGTGAGAAAACTTTGCCAGGCATGTTTTGCCTGTTTGCTTTTGAGCAGCTAACACTGTGGATGGACCCTCTGCCTCATCTGGGTATCATGTATTAATCCTATAGAGAGCTAAGAACATACCTGACAGTAATAATTAAATAAGAAGTAGCAGCAGGAACACAAACAGCCGCAGGAGGAGAAGGAGCAGAAAGAGAAACTTACCGTCAGATGAAAATGAAAAATCATGGAGGACAAAATGTTTTTAAATCAGAGTCCCCACGAAGTTATTGGAAGTTTTCATCCTTGGGACAGACGTTCTTCACCTGCAGCAGAACAATCAGATGATTTGGAGACAAGAAGCAGAACCACGACCCAATGGGAGTGCAGAAATAAGACTGCCCACTCTGAACTTTCTCACTGCTCTCCTCTGAGATCATCCCTCCTCCTCCTCCTCCTCCTTCATCAACCCTTCTGAGTGTAGAATGAGAATGTGAAATGGTCCACAACAATCTGCTGCAAACATCCAGAACCTCTGCTGGACCTGGACTGTGATCACACTGAATCTGATCAAGTTTTATCAAATGAGTGGGATAGAATCTGTCATTTACCTCTAGAATAAATGTCTGTGAACTATTTAATCATTCTGTTTTTATGGATCAGAATTTCAGAAATCCCGACTCACTGACATGTTGACTTTGTTGAAAGCAGCAGAGCCGTGGACCGATTGGTCTTGTGATGGTTAAATATATTTTAGAGATTATGTTTTAATATTTAAATCTCTCAGATTAGAGCTTCCTCTTGGAGTGCTGCTCCAGTCTGTGGTAGTGATGAAAGAGCTGAGCAAACATTAAAGTTCTGGATTTACTGCTTCATCTATGTTTCAACCCTGATCGATGATTCTGAGCTATGGATCAGGACTGAAAGAACCAGAAGTTTAACCAAGGAAGAAGTCTGGAACCGGTAGTTCCCGTCCTTGTGAGCTGCTCTTCTGCATGTATCGGACCAGAATTGTCCACTGGACTGAGACTGGGGATTGCAGCGCCAGCAGATGTTCCTGAGAGGAACGTAGCATCAGCTTGTTGGACAGAGTCTAAAGAGCTACTGCAGACGGAGCGAGACCAGGGGCGTTTCTAGGGTCTCAAAACATTGGGGGCTTTAGCCCCAATCCAAAATATTTATATTTCCATAAGACAGTTTATAAGTGATTTAAAGTAAAAAATAATATAGGACATATTGTACCAGTTCTCTGTCTCGGCTGGTTTTAGACTGAATGTAAATTACTGTGAATCAAACAAAAAAGGTTTGCAATAATTTTACTTTTTATTTTTGTTAGAACTGAATG